TACAACACAATAATGATGAAGATGTTAAGAAGACAAATAAGAGAGGCACTGTCATGCCCCAAAAATTAGGTGTGACCGACATGGGATATATATACAAACACACATCCCTTAAGCCTTGATCAAGAAAATTTTAATTTAACATCTTAATTCACTTGAAATAAGATTGGAAATCATAGTAACATTTTCCATAAAAATAAAAGATTTCCAAACTTTTTGTAGAGATTTCGGTAGAACTTCCTTTGTAAATAGGAACTTCTGAATCTCTACAATAATCATTTGCAAACAAATTAATAATATGAAGCTTTATTCCTCGACAATAGACAGTTAATATAAATTTACAATTCAGAATCACATCTATAGTTAATGTGGAGCACCTAAATTATAATCTCAAAATAAAGCATATAATTGAATATATATATATATATATATATCAAAAGAAAAGGCATGCTCAGGGTAAATATTCACCTAACTCAATGGCAAGCCTTTCAATGATAGGCAGTAGGTTCAATATCAGCTAATGAATATGAGACCAAAATATTTTTCAGTAAATAGCATCCCCCAAAAATAGAATTTAAAAGAGTAAAAATAATAAATTTAAACAATTATTTAGAATAATTGAAAAGATGATAATTCAATATAAGAAACTTAATAAACCTGTAAATCTTAATCATAACCATAAAATAAGAGTGAACTAGAATTACTTTATTTTATCATGCTTGAAGAAAACAAATTATTCAAATGTAAACAAAGTAATATACTTACTAACTAAAAATCATTGAAACTTCAGATACATCAGTTAATTAGAACTTTAGATTAAATAACCTTGAAAAAAAATAATAAATAAACATATGATAATTTGTTTGAAGTGTATTTTTATTAATGTTTGAAACAATTATAACCATGAGTACTGTTTGTTTAGTGGGAGTGTGCATATTGCCTCCTTCATTTGGTATAGAGTTCGAATCTGACTGAGATCAAGAAGAGTTTTATTTTGCTTTTTGCTTTATAAAATTACCGAACTGCTCCTGCTTCAAATATGAAATATGTCTTCCTCTTCTCCGTCGATTTTTCCAGAATCAGGGGAGAGGGCTCCAGCTTTCTGCCATTTCTTCATCCTCCCATTGTGCTTCATCTCTTCTCTCCTGTTTCCAGTGGTCGCCGGTGAAAGTGGAGGCTCGCCGTCGCTGTGCAAGGCTCAGGTTCTTCATCATGCTTCTCTGTCTCTATTTGTCTTCTCCGCTGCTGTTCTGCTCTTGTTATTCACGTGTGTGTAGCTGGTGTGCTGGAGAATCAGGTCGCCGGAACTGGTAGGGCTGTTTGCGAGCTCTTTTCTGCTTGGTCTGGGGTTGTGATTTTCGTTTTCTTCCTTTCGTGTACACCCTGTTAGATTCGTCCCCTGTGCAGCTCGTGATCTTGTTTTCCTTCTTCTTCTGTTGTTGTTGTGGTTCCAGTTGCGTCTGGTCCCCCTCTCCTTAATGCCGTTGTTGTTCAGAGACTTCAAAAAAACTCCTCCTTTCTTCCAACGATCAGATCTGTGCCTGAGTGTGTCCATTGATTGATTAGAAATCTGATTTCCTCCTCTAGTTCAATGGTCATATTTGAATATGTTGCAAAAAAAAAAAAACAGAGAGAATGTTAATAATATGGAATTTATAGATTAAATGAACACTTTCATTGGGTAAGTTTGATATGGTTGCTTTGATTATGTCTATAGAAGATAGATGTGAATTTGGGGTTTTTCCTTTGAAGTTAAAACTGATTTTTCTATTGAGAATATAGAATTTAGAAGTTTATTCAATCTAAATATTTATTTAAGAGATGAAATTGAATAGGAAGAAGTTTATAAAAGTTTAAAGTGTAACGCGTAAGAGATGTTTGACAAAATGTCTAAAAGAGTGTCTTGTGATATAGTAGCATGATAAATATTATGATTAAGTAAAACATCATTAGAAGACCATTATTTTTTAATGAAAGTTGGGAGGTATTATTAGTTCAATTATTAACACAAGAAAACCTTAAGAAAGGGGTCTAAAGAGAAAAAGAGTTGGGTTTTATGGTCTAAATAATGAGTCTAAGATGGGTGTTTGATAATTGTTTGAAAAAGAGAGATGTTGGGTTTAAACTAGCAAAATGTGAAATAGTTGTGTAATCATTATGATTGAATAATAATCTCAAAAGGCACGTGTGCTTGGGAATAAAAGTCAAAGTAGAATTTGAGGTGTTTGAGGAGAAATAATTGAGTTGGAAATTTAAGAACCAATTGCCACATATACTTCATCTTTGAGATGTTTGATACAATGTTGAGAAAGGTAAAAGTGAATGTTTTCTTTCTTTTATTTTTCTAAGCTGTTTTAGATTAAAGGCTTTGGATGGTAAAGCCTATTTAAGAAGATGACAATGATTTTATTTGAATATTAGGAATTTAAGGACAAAGTATCATTATCAGGAGACTATTTCATACACTTGAAAATTTTACAAGTGGATAGCATCCCAATCAACTTATAAATTAGAAAATTTTCTTTTATCAAAATATTGTTTTTAACAATTTACAAATATTTATATATATATTTCTCTTGCATTAGCTACTTTTGTTAATTAAATTGTTTTATTTCTTGGAGTCATGACTTATACTTTTTAGATTGATGAACAATACTTTTTCAAATTCTATTAGTCCTTTATTTGATAAAACCAAATATGAAAACTGATGAATGGTATATAAAATATTAGTTATGAATTTTCATATTTGAAAAAAATTAATGTTTTTATATGTTTCATGAGAGTTTGATATTAAGAAGAGAAATAATATCTTGAAAGTGATAGTTTTCTCGCATGTCCAAAAGTGAATTTAAAAAGGGACTGTATACAGAACACTGGTTGCTAATGACAGTTCTGTTAGCCCTTGACGTGCCATGGTAAATTATTAGCTAGTTTGATTTTCATTAGCTCAGTTCTCACTTCTATTATTCGTGGGTCTCGTGTGTCTGTTTTGTGGCTTCAACCACATCTAGTAGTTATCCTCATGAACTGTGTGTCCATGTCTGTTTCATGGCTTCGGCCACGTCTGGTTACTTACCCTTGTGGATTATATGTCCACATTTGTCTTCATGAAATAAGCTACATTTGGTTATTTACCCTCGTGAACTGTGTGTCAACGTTTGTTAATTATTCTGATAAGTCCCTAGAAATGTGATTTAAATTATTTGTTGATTTTATATTCCACTGGTTTTAAAATAGTAGATGTTACGATATTTATTTAATTTAATTTAATTTAATTTTCTTCTTGAAATCAAGTGATAATGATATTTGGGATTATAAATTTAATGGTTTAAAATATTATTTAAAGCTATATACAATCTCTTAAGTCTAAAGTTCATGAAATATTTTAGATGAAATTGTTATCTCTTTAATTTATATAATTATTGTCATTTATTCATGCCATCCTTTTAAATTTTACTAATATTGGGACGTTATTTACTGAAAAGTAATTGTTGGTCTTAGATAATGTAGATGATGTTGAATCTTGTGCTGAATAATGAAGGGTTTATTATTGACCAAAATTGAAGGAGCTAAGAATATTTCTTTTTATGTAAAGTTTGAATTATGAAATTTTATTTTGTAAATTTTTATCTCAGTGCTCTACATAGTATATAGCTAGGTTTTTATTTTGTCTACTGGTTGAAAGGAGCCGAGCACCTGATTAAAATGATCTTTTTGTATAAAACTTTGTGATGTAGAGTTTTTGGGAGATCTCATTTGCGAGGAAGGTTTTGTCAAAATTTCTATAAAAATATTGAAGATTTTTTTATGTGAAAATGATTATGAATGTTATAAACTAATGTAAACATAACTTCGCTAATAACGAAAAGATTTCTCAACTTAAGGCTTGAGGGATATGTGATGTGGTGCACATCTCATGCCGGTCACCTTCTATTTTCGGGGCATGACAAATATCAGAGTTTAGGTTTTCCTATAGCTATGTGGTGCAAGGACTCTCCAATGGGGTCTTAATTATCATTATAAATCCGGGCATAATCATAATTGAGGCATCATTGAAGGCCTTTTAGAGAGTTCTTAAAATCTCTTATTTTCCTTAACATATAAGTTTTATTTTGTTGAACTAAACACTTATGTTTTCTTGATTAGTGAAAATGCCACGTAGACACCAAGTATCTGCTAGAAGCTCTACTGTTAGTAGGGCTTTAGCTAGAACCCCTTTGCCTAATGATTTGCCCTTAAGGGGTAGAACACAACGTCAGGGTAGAATTAGAATTAAGGATGGTCAAACCTTTAGATCTCTTCAAAATATTCTTTTTGAAGCTAAACAAACAAATTCTCAGTCTGAAGAATAGACTGCCCTTTCTACACATAATATGCGGAAGGAAAATCCTGCAGTGAAATTGTCCGAATTTATGAAGTTAAACCTACCTTCCTTCTTTGGGACTAATGCACAAGAAGACTCGATTGAGTTTCTTGAAGGTATTGAAAAGAGGTGTTGGGCTTTAAGATGCCATGATGTGTAGTATGTTAAATTTGCAATATTTCAACTTCAAGGTGTGGCAAATACCTGGATAAAAAATGTGCTAGGTATAATGGCAATTGGAGTACTATCCTTGTCATGGGATGAGTTCAAGACTACTTTTCTAAAGCACTATTTGCCCTAAAGTACTAAAGATGCAAAGATTGAAGAGTTCTTTTAACTTTAAAGTGTAGTAAGGGAATGTCGATAGCAGAGTATGATCAGAGATTTACAGAGCTATCTTCTTCTGCTCCTCATATAGTGTCGATTGAGAGGGAATGGATTAGTAGATTTATACATGGGTTGCTAATGTATTTACATAATTCTGTAGCTCCTATGCTGGATCATTTTAAAACCTATGCTGAAATTGTGGATAGTATATTAAGGATTGAAAATTGGCATAAGGAAGATGAGAAAACCTCTAAGAAATGCAAAATAGAAAATGATAAGAAATTTCAAGGCTCTTTTTCTAGAGGCCATCGATTTCAGAGTCAATAGTGTATCAATTAGTTTAGGGAAATTTCAATTCTGCTAGTCCTAGTTTTGGGAATGTTAAACCCCAAACTTAGTTAATGGTGAATCAGTTAGGTTATGCTAGAGTCTCTTATACCATTTATAGGAAGTATTATACAGGGCCATGTCATAAGGTGATTGGTGCATGCTTTAGGTGTGGATGGATAGGTCATTTGAGAAGAGATTGTCTTTTTATTCAATCTATGTCAAGTCATGAATCAGTTCAGCCTTCTCCCCACCCTACTTCATCTTCAACTCCACCTTTCGAGGCCACTTTTACTTCAACTAACAAGAGTATGTTAGGAAAGGGAAATGGAAAGTGGGGGCAGTCTTCTGGTCAAAGACAAGCGAGAGTTTATGCTATAACGAGACAGGATGCTAGAATGTCGAACGCTATTGTTACAGGTAATACTACTGTATATTTTAATCAGGCGTATATATTGTTTGATTTTGGTTCAATTCATTCATATGTATCTGTTTATTTTGCTAAGAGGTTAGGTAAAAAAAACCTATTAAACTTAATTCATTTATAGTCAATACTCCAGTTAGAAAATCTTTGATTGTTACTTATGTGTATAAGTCTTGTGAAGTGTGTCTTAAGGGTAGAAAAACCCTTATCAATTGATGATATCTGATATGATTGATTTTGATGTGATATTGGGCACGGACCAGTTAGCTTCCCATTTTGTTACCATCGACTTCCACTTGAAGGTGGTGAGATATGCCATTCTAGGTGAAACTCCTTTTATACTGCAAGGGAGTTTTATCAAAAGATCTACTAACCTAATTTCGCCCTGAAAGCTTAACCGTTATTAATTAAGTGTTGTTAAGGGTTCTTAGATATAATAAGAAATATTGATAACTTCACTGTTAGTTTGGATCAAATACCATTTGTTTAGGAACATTTTTATATTTTTCTAGAAATATTACCTAGAATGCCACCTAATTAGAGAGTGAGTTGCTATTGATTTGATTTCATACACTTAGCTAATTTCTATTCCATCTTACGCAATGGCACCATTTGAGTTGAGGGAACAACAAATTTATACTAAATTCTCTAAATGTGAATTTTGGTAAGATAAAATTACTTTCTTGGGATGTGTTTCTAAAGACGGCGTCCAAGTAGGCACAAGTAAAGTAGAAGTAGTAAAGAATTGGTTACAATGCACAACAGTTATAAAAGTTTAAAGTCTCTTGGGCCTCACAAGGTATTATCATTGCTTTGCTATTTAAAAAAAAAAACTCCATAATAGCCACCCCCTTGACAAGACTAAATTAAAAGGGAGTTTTCAAAAGGTTTGAAGGAATATTTGACTTTTGCACCAGCCCTAAGATTACTATTAGACATGGGTGGAGTTTTCTCATTAAACTAATTATCGAGCCAGCATTCAAACGGCTTTATATGAGGCACTTTTTGGCAGGCAATGTAGGTCTCCTATCAAATGATTTGATGTTAGTGATACTAAGCTTTTAGGACCAGATTTGGTGTAAGATGTTATTGAGAAAATGAAAATAGTTAGAGAAGGATTGATAGCAACTCAGAGATTTCATGTTGATAATCGACGCCAGGAATTAGAATTTATGGTTAGGGACAAGTATTTCTTATGGTGTCTCCTATAAAAGGGATGATAAGCTTTGGGAAGAAAGGCAAGTTGAAACCAAGGTATACCAACTTGTTTGAAATCTTAAAGAGAGTTGGTGCTTTGACTTATCAACTGACATTTCCACCTAAACTATTGAGTATTCACTCGATATTTCCTATATCAATGTTATGAAAATACTTTTATGACCCGTCTTATGTGATCGAGACTTAGGGGATCCAAATGGATCCAGATTTATCATATGAAGTAATTCATGTGGCTATTTTGGATAGACAAGTAAAGAAACTACAATCAAAAGAAATTGCTTTGGTGAAAGTGTTGTGATGTAATCGTTCTTAAGATGAAGCTATATAGGAAGTTGAAAGTGATATGCGTGTGAATATCTACGCCTATTTAAAGATTGAGGTAAGCATATTTAAATTCGGAGGACCGAATTTCTTAAGGGGGGAGAATGTAATAACCTTGAAAAAATAATAAATAAATATATGATAATTTATTTAAAATGTATTTTAATTAATGTTTGAAACAATTATAACAATAAGGACTGTTGATTTAGTGGGAGTGTGCATATAGCTTCCTTTATTTGGTCTAGAGTTCGAAGCCGGCTGAGACCAAAAGGAGTTTTATTTTGCTTTTTACTTCATAAAATTATCAAATTGCCCCTACTTCAAATTTGAAGTATATCTTCCTCTTCTCCATCATTTTATTCCAGAATCAGGGGAGAGAGAGAGCTCCAGCTTTCTACCATTTCTTCATCCTCCCATTGTGTTTTGTAAAGTCCTAACTCAATTTGGACTTTACCATTCCCAATCACATAATCAATAAATACTAACAAAATAATATCGAAGTAATAGCTCTTTATTTATTTTTAAATTATGGGATCCCGACTTCTTAAAACATATATTCAAATAAGAGGGCTAATAGAAGTGCAATACAAAATTCAAGACTTAAAAAGGCACAACATCTCTACCTTGAAAAGGGCCATGCGCCGCAACTTGTACCACATGCGCCATGGCATATGGTACAAAGCAACATGCTTTGTTTCTATCTATGCCATATGCTGCGGTGTGGCACGCTATGTGCTATGGCGATTATGATAGCACTGTCATATGACGGCTCAGAAAATGAACTTTTGCCACTCGGCATTTCCACATCTGACATCCGATTAGAGTAAGTTAAGTGCCTACACTAAACTTACAAGCTTATACTGGCTAATAGAATAAGTTTGGACTCGATCTGATGGTTCAATTTAAAATTGGACACCCGGGTGCAAAAAGTTGCTTTTCTTTCAAAAACTTACACCCTATGTGTTCAATTCTCACTTCTTGTCCCATTAGACTATTTCGGGCCTTGAACTAAGTCCAAAAGGACCACATATACTTGATTGACACTACTAATCACAGGTATCATGTCATTTACTCAAATTGACCTCTCAACGCCATATTACACACATGTGAATTTATATGAGGCATAATATCTACAACACATATTGACATATATACAATTAGACTTGTTCTACTTTCAACCCTCTGACTCATACATATGGGGCTCTGCCTCACTATATGGTCGAGAATCACAAATGTACTTAACTCTTCCAAATGGGGCTCTGCCTCCCCATTTATGTCAAATTCTCATATATATTCACAATCCACAATCAATTCACATTCAACATATACATACAAGTGGAACAAGTTACATAATGACATATATTTGCTTGTTTAGCATCTAAGCCTACCCACGTACCTCCACTAGGGCACCTTCGGGGAGATGCAACATCATATATATATATAAGCAAGTTTCACAACACAATTCAATACGCAGTTATTTATGCATCCTAATTAGAAACTAAAACTTTATATACAACTTTATACATTCATTAATACATATAGTAGTCATACCACTATCAAATGAAGCTACTCTTTCTTGCTTCCTTTCCCAGCCTTCTCATGCTCTCTTCATCTGTATTCAAAAGTAATAAAGTGAGACATATGTCCCAGTAACTCGGAGGTAACCCCAATTACCGGTTAATAAGCAAAATCATAAATAGTTGATAAAGTAGCATGTGTTTCAGTAAAAAACAATATCATATGCCTATACAGGAATTCATTCTCATCAATCTCATCATGCTCATGTATTCCTAGTTCCACCTAGCGGAGTAATCTCTACGCTTGAACTAGGACTTCCAGTCACATAAAACAGGGCCCACTATACCTTTACTCAGACTAGGTAATCCTCTTCGCATATGGGTGGCTCCTAGGTCCATCATGGCAGAGTTAAACTCTATGCTCTGAATCACTAGAATTTCTCAGCCTTATACAAAGTAGGACCACAATCCCTTACCCTAGTTTAGGGTAACCTCTGAATCATTCCATATCCTAGGTCTGTCATAGCAGAGTCAAGATCTATGCTCTAAATCATCAGGATTCTTCTCCTAGCTCTGTCCTAATAGAGTCAAGCTTTATGTTCTAGATCATCAAGACTTCCTAGACCTCCTCACGGTAGGACGTGTCCCCCTATCATAATCTAGGGTATTCTCGCTGATGCAATGCATGGCAATGCACATGCCACCTCAAATTCATTTCAATCAATACTTACACACCCGCATGCATTCTTTCACAATGCCGCTATTCTATCAGTTCACAACACAATACATATAGTTATATAAAAATATTGTTAAACAATTTTACAAACAAACAAGTAAAAATATTACTTCAGTTACCTTTAACCCTTGCTACTAAGGGTTACCAATCACTATGGATTCTTAAGTGTGTAGATTCCCACAAATAATGTCACAGGTGCTCAATCTACATAACATAACGTCCCTTAGCCAAGTCTCAACACTTTACATAAGCATTGATTTGGTTAAATTGAATCCCTTAACACATAAAACGGTTCAATTAGCATCTTTTGAATTCATACATCCATTATTTATAGTCATTAGCCCTATAGGCTACTCAAACAATCATAGCAACCTCCTAACTCATTATTCAACCATAATTTTTTCATTTAACCTAACTTTTTAGCTATTTTGAGCCTAAATCCTCAAAGCTTAACCATTCAACTGCATACTAGTCACAAAACCTTGGTTCTATATTTGATAGCCCATTTTGACACTTCTTTTAAATTATAACACCTCAAAACTTCATGATTTGATTTCTTAACTGATGAAATTCAATGAAAATAGGGTAGAAATGAAGTGTAGAGTTGTGCGTTACTTACCCAACAAGTCATCAATCAAATCAAGCTCCCAAGCTCCAGATATTACTTGCCCTAGCAGAGCAAAACACTTCCTCCTCTCCAAACACATTTTCCACACTTCTCACTTCTGTTTTCACAAGCTGATCATGTCAGCTTTAAGCAATTTCCACGCAATGCGCCGCGATGTGTGGCACAGTGAGGTCAATCTCACTTGTGCTCATACATTATGTCTTGGATTGCCATTCTACCCTTCAATACTATCAATACAACACAAAACATCAATTTAACATCTAAACCCTGATAAATCCACTAATTACCAATATACTCCTGATTAGTAAATAGTCTTCCTAAATTGAAATTCAGCATGTTACATGCTTCATCTCTTCACTCCCATTTCCAGTGGTCGATGGTGAAAGTGGAGACTCGCTGTCGCTGTGCAAGGCTCAAGTTCTTCATCATGCTTCTCTGTCTCTATTTGTCTTCTCCGCTGCTGTTCTGTTCTTGTTATTCACGTGTGTGTAGCTGGTGTGCTTGAGAATCAGGTCGCTGAAACTGGTAGGGCTGTTCGCGAGCTCTTTTCTGCTTGTTCTGATGTTGTGATTTTCATTTTCTTCCTTTTGTGTACACCCTGTTAGATTCGTCCCCTATGTAGTTTTTGATCTTCTTTTCCTTCTTCTTTTGTTGCTGTGGTTCCAGTTGCGTCTGGTCCCCCTCTCCTTAATGCTGTTATTTTTTTCCCCAATAATCATAAAATACAATAAATTTATCTTATTATTTATTCTAATCTTATAAATATAACTTAGGTTATTACAAGCGCATAATTGATGATTGGATAGATATTCTCCAAAAAAGTCAAAGCGACCTCATATCAATCATAAGTGAGCTTGTCTCGTCAAATAACGTGTATCGAGGCCACCTCATTTAGTCGCTTTATTCCTATGTTTCAGTCAAGTTTGATATTTCCATTCAAATAAATTTTTAAAACAATTAATCATTCAATTTTTATAATTTCAAGTGAGCTTGTAATTTAATTTTTTAATTTTAATTTTTTATGATTCAATTTTTATAATTTTACTTTAATTATAAATTAATTTATAAATTTTAATTATTGTCACTCTATCCTTATAATTTTAACCATTTAAAATATTAATCTATATATTGTAAAAAAATTATAAATATTAAAATTATGTTAAACAATTTAGGATTAATATTTCAAGTTACTAAACTCTTCACAAATATTAAAATTTTAAAATATTTTTAATATTTATAATTTTATTTTTTAAACTATAGGGATTAATATTTTAAATAATTAAAATTATAAGTATTGAGTTGTAAGGATTAAAATTCATGAATTAAGTTATAATCAATTGAAAACTATAAGAATCAAATTATAACGAGTTAAAATTTAATAAAATAAATTATAATTGGATCAAAATTGTAGGATCAAATGATTAATTTTTTCATTTAAAAAATACTAGATCATTGGATTTTTTAAAAAAAAGGAAAACTTACTTATTTCATCCTTACATACTTTTAAAAAGTTTGTAATTCAATCCTATAATTTAACTTGTTGCCACCCTTTCCCTCGTGTTCACACTATTAGCTCCATCCTTGTAGTTGAAAATAAGAGCTAAACTCCTCCATAAAACACCAGACGTTGCAGTGTGTGGAATTAACGGCGTCAATTTTGCTCAGATTATATCCTAATCATTAGGCAAGTGGCTAATCCCATAGTTTTTAACCTATGAATCATTCCTAAAATTGCTTGCCAAAACGCTGAGTCGATGGGGTTAAACGACATCTTCGATTTCTTCTGCTTCAGATCCTTCAATCCCACTTGCTTGATGATTAGGATGCCCTTTGATCAAAGTTAACGTCGTTAATTCCATGCCCAGCCACGTCTAATATTTTAGAAAGAACTACATATAAATCCCACACAACACATTTAATAATTATCTACTTAACTCAATTGTCAATAAATTTTATAATAATTAAATATATTGAGGAACATCTTAAAGTAATTTTCCCAATATTTTACGGAGGAGTGAAGCTGTTTTTTCTAACTATAGAGACGGAGAGAGACCAAACTGTGTAAAGATTAGGGACTGAATCAACGTACTTACCAAGAAATTGAACAATTATTTCAGCCTTTCAAAACTCATTGCTTTTGATTATTAGTTCAAATGTAAATGAAAATATAAGACCAAAGCGTGTTGTGCCCACATTTTTTTTTCTTTTTTCTTTTTTGAAAAGTGCAAAGGAATAACAGCGCAACTGCTTAAGTGCCCATCAATCGTAGCCATGATAAGTTATGATTGCCTTATGAGACACAGATATTGGATACGTTTGTCATGTTGATATTTTTTTTTAAATATAAAATATGATACGATTTCTAAGCGTGCATATATATATATATAAATTAAAAATACAATTTCAATTAAAAAATATCTAAATTGATATATATATATATAATGCTTTATAGTAATACCAAGTAAAACATAATTATTAATTACACTTTTATTTTATCTATACCTAATTATCTAGCACTTAGTCAATAATCATAGGCAAAGGATCAAAATATTCTTCTCCTCAACTATCATTTGGAAAAAAGAATAGCTTTTACATTGGTTCATCAAAAGATAAGTTTGCCACATTCAAAATTCTAGTAATATCAAGGTCATATCATTCATCTCTACCAATGTTCCAAAAAGATATATTAATAATAAAAAGTTTAATATTACAATCTTTAATAAAATTTAATTTCTTAAGAATTTCCTTGAAGTATTGACTTTGGAGCATTAATTATTTAACTTGTGATTAAGAAATATAGGATACATATCAAAAATTAAAATTTTTTAAATTAAAAATAATATTTTAATATTTTATGGATACATATTAAAAAAGTATTGATGAGTATTAATATCAAATATGATATTAATATAAATACATGATGCAATTTAAAATGTCAATACTGCATTAGGAACACGCAAGGATGATAAAGTGGGGAGAATTATTGATATATTATATTATGACTCTCAATTATTATTATTATTATTATTATTATGGGGTCCATCTCTACGATTTTAACCTGCAAGGTCAAGTAAAACAAATTAAAGTCATCTCAGTACTTCCTTTCCACGTCGAATTTCCATCAACGAGGAGCAAAATTATTTCTTTATTTGCTCTTTTTTGGGGGCTCGGGCCATTTCTCATGAGTTTCATCTCATCTTCCCTCCTAGTCCTTTAGACTTTTTCCCTACCTTTGTATTGTAAACTCTTGATTCTTCTTAATCTTATTATTAATCTTTTTATACAAAAAACATGTTAGTTTTTTTTTCTTTTAAAATACAAATAATTTAAATTTAAATTGTGCAAATTAGATACGAAATTTTCAATTTTATCCAACAAAAGACATCTTCACTAACATTTAAAATTTTAATTTTGGGAGAATAATGAAAAAAAATCCCTGAAATATGCAAATAATAATTAATTACCCCAAAATATGATAATTGTTATTTAGTTTCAAGGTTAATTTTTTTTATAAAATGACATATTTGACTTTAGTGACTATTATACGTTGGGAAAGAAATATTTTGGTTGGGCTATTGACTCAAACAGAATTCAAAATAAACTACTTTGTTTTTGCTAATTTGTTTATCAGTCAAGTATAAGTACTAAAATTTAGTGACTATTATAGGTGGAGAAATGACTATTTTGGTTGTCATTTTCATATTTTAGGAGTATTTTTTTTTATCATTTTTCAATTAATTTTATCATAAGGTTTTGAAAAAAAAAAACACAATTTATCATCATAAGGTTTAAATTCTCAATTTTGTTTAATAAACTTGCGAGTTGCAAATTGTAAAAATGCCAGAAGGCTCCTTCTATTCCTTTTGGTTTATTCAAAATTTAAACTATAGCACTCTACTTTTTTTCCATAAGAATTATCATATATATGATCAAATTAACCCTGAAAATGTGTTATGAAAAAACCAAAGAGATAATTGTGTACCAAGCTATGCCAATAAGTGTAGAGGATATCATACGGCTCAATTTTCTATATTTACCAAGTGAATACATATATTCAATAATACCTTATATTAAATAGCCTCTGATTTTGTTAATTTTATTAAGTTTCTAGCCTAATTTGATTTATGTGAATTATTTTTTCTTGTAAGATAAAATATTATTGGTTTAGAGTTTCCTTTTTTCCATAAAACATTATGTTTTCATTTATACATCAACTCTCAATAATATTGATAAAGTCAAGAAAAAGAAACAAGAAATGCAAATGTAACAAAAAGCAGATGACAAACAGGAACATTAACAGTAAAATGAACACAATAAATTAAAAACGTCCACTTACAACTTTTTTTTTTGGGAGATTTCAATGCCGTTGATGATGTATTGGATAGAGAAATCTCGTTTATGTTTTTTTGGTTAATTTGCAGAAGGACAAAACGATCTAACAAGCCAAAGCTAGCTACAATGGAGCATCTAGATGCCACAAATCAGGGCACACAGACTGCAAAATAAAAGGATAAACTAATTAGAAGCAAAAGTATAAGAGATTTATTTGCTAATTAATTTTGACTATAAAAGGATACTTATTACTTTTGTTTCTTCGATCAACCCTCACTTTTTCCTTTGAGAGGTGGCCGTTGATAAAAAAGTCGATCCCTGTACTGTTCTTTATAGATTGTTACTCGTGCTTGTTTTGATTTCTGTTGAATAGCATAATTAGTTTCTCTTTAGTTTTTATTAAAAAGATTGATTTTTTCCATTGAAAGCAAAATTGTATAGACAAATTAAAGTGAAAAAGATGTAAGTAAGACAAAAATGAGTTCGATCGGATATTGCTCTTAAAATATTTTTGTCTCATAATTTTATATCAATTGATTATTAAATAAGCATGCAGTTGGGAAACATAGATCTCAATACTTTCTCAACACACATATATATATATAGTGTGTGTGTGTGTAAGAAAATAAAATAACTAGTCTTATACTCTTATCATTTTTAAAATTTCAGGTTTTTAAAATAAATTTATAAATGAATATTTGAGACTGAATCTGTTTTTAAAATGAATCTAATATTGAAATTATATGTTCTGATAATATTAAATATCAGCTCTACTTTAGATTTTAAGTTGCATATAATGAACAGAATCAACAGATTCAGCACTCATCAGATCAGTAGTGCTATGAGGACAAAATCCATCTAGCTATCAACACTGATATCCCCTGCTATATTAAATAGTATTAATTGCTTAATAAACATAACGATGTAGTATTATTATTGACAGTTCACAACAATCCAAAAAATTGAGTTTATATATATAAATAACAAGATAAATATGAGATTTGAAGTCTTAGCTCTCCATTATTGAAGGTCATCAAGTAAATTTTCCAAGTCCTTTCTTTAATTACATTGTTTTGATCCATTGTCTAGGATATTGCATTCGTTTCACATTAGCGACAATCAATACTATTAAAATAGTCCCTCCTTTGCTTTTCTCTGCTTCCCTCTTTGAATATCTTCTTCAAAGAATCTTTTCCTCAACCAGATTGTCAAAAAAGCATTCTGCAGTATTCATACAACAAATTATTTATATTATCTTTAATTGACAGTTTACATGTAAATCTCAATCAAAGACACTTCTTTTCATGAAAAATTGAATGGAAACGTGGTACACTCATGACAACCATCAACAAGCGGACGCCAAGTTAGA